CTGTTAATTTGGCATGATTGCTGATCTTCCTACACAAGCAGCAAAATCTTATTTAGAAATGTGTCCCACATATTGCTGACAGCCAAAATCTATGTGTTAAAAGTTGTATTTCAAAAATTATTCATACACTGATTTACTCTATATTTGTGCTCTAATTCTCATAGGTTTCTTATATTTCTTTTTAAGTCTATCTCACCTGTGAGTTTGACCCGCATCTGTCTCTGGGTTGGCTGGCACAGCTATCTCTGAGTCCATGAATTTAAATATAGCATTACATAATTTTTTCATATAAACTCTCCAGTAAACTTGGAGATATATTTTATTGCATGTTGCATATCCCAGTAAGTCTGTTTAATCTTTAAATCTGCATCTGTCCCTATTACTCTGTGCTCTGCTTAAAAACAGATTTATGAACCTGTCTACCAATAAAATGATGCCAGAGAAACTCATATATATCATAGCTATCTAGAAACTGTCTGATTTTTTATGTTAAATAAAAGGGTTACAGATAGGTCGACAGATATGTGTTTGTTTCTACCTGTAACTGTGAGTCATGTTCCTCTGGGAAGCCCAGCTTTTTTAACTGAAGAAAACAACATTTAAACCCAATGTTTTGTCAAATTAATTGCATCATATTAAATTAGGCTATATAATTTTACACTCTGTTGTTGTTTTTTTGTTGAAAAAGCTCAATATGCCTAAAAAACAGATTTTTCCGTGGCATCTGTAATTTTTTAACCCCCATCTCCTAACTTTTACTGTATCATATATATAAGAAGTTGCCGGTTTAACTTCACAGAGTGCTGCTGTGTGTCTCTCCTTGAACCATGTAGCTACTCTGTAAGCAGTGAATAGCGACTGCAAATAATATTATGTCTCAAAGAGACAGATCAGATAATGTATTACATCAAAAGGCGCAACTTGGGAGCAGAAAGAAAAAATAAAAACTGTCTCCAAATTTGGTGGGGACATGTCCACACCAGTCCTTTAGAAAGTTACACCTGTAGGTTAACGAGCTGCAGATAGCACAGCTAAGAGCTTTAATATCACAGGCAGACCCAGCTCAGAGCAAAGCTAATCTTTACCTGTCTCCATGACAACCCTTTTTTGTCCCTGTTAGCATATTTCATTCAACCGTTAATGTGGCCAACATTACGAAACATTTCAGCAATTCTGGCAAATCCGAAGACAGAAAAAAATTGGTTTGAATGAAAATCATCTGTTTCAGTTTAAAAGCTGTTTTCACATATATTGCCAACTATATTTGTTTTTTATATTTGATTTGCATTTTGAAGTATTACTTTCAACCCCCTATTAATCCATCCAATGTCTTGATTTCGTTCACAGTCATAAGAGCTTACTAAGATCTTACACACTGCAGCTAACAGGTTTATAACTGTATAATCCATTTAGATTTTTATCACTTGGATCCTTAAAACCAAAGCTTAAAACTAAAGAGATTTTGAAGAAGAAAATCTGTATGATTTTATTTAGGGATGCACGATATTGGGATTTTGGCCGATATCCGATATGC